ACATTTTATTGATCACACAATTTCTTAAATAGTCTACTTTCAATAGCAAGTTCAGGTGGTAATTTCAAGAAAAGCGGTTTTGAATTGGTAAGGAAATTTGCTTAAAACTTAATGCCTGGAAACAGGTTAGTGTTCTGTTCAAATAGTAGGTACATGAATCTATTGACAGCTCAAGACAGGACAAAAACTCTTAAAACCGGACAACAAAGCCTAGAACAAAAGCAGCAATATTTTAGTCAAAAGTCACAGAATGATATTTCACCAGTTCAGTCTCATGTACTTAATCTTCTGTTGTGGTTTGATCTTCCTGATTGAATTCTGGGATATAATATTTAACTCCGGACTTGTCCCTATGATTAAATTGGCCATTTTCTTAGTTTTTGAACTCTTATTTCTGTGTAACTACATTTAATTTTCCTGACATAGCACTCCCTTGAGAACTTCTTGGAGATCTGGTCTGGTGCTGGTCAATTCTTTCAGGTTTTGTTTATCTGAGAATGTTCTTGTCATTTCTTCCCATATGAAGGATAATCTTGCCGGGTACAGTATTCTTGGTTGAAATTGCTTTTCCCTTAGCACTTTGAATATATTTTCCCATTCTTTCCTCCTTTGGAGGTAACTTGCCATTTTTCTCTTGCCAATCTTAGTATCTTGTCTTCGTCTGTGGTTTTGGTCAGTTCGGCTATAATGTGTCTTGGAGAAGATCTTCTTGGATTGATTCCATTTGGGGTCCTTCGTATTATAGTCTTCTTCTGTAACAGTTCCATTTGATTCTTTTATAAAGTGTGCAATTGCTCTTTTAGATCTTGTAAGAATTTCCTCACCTCCCAGAACTCGTCAGCTCCTTTTTCCTTTCTCTTCTGCAGTTCATTGTCTCTCTTCTCTTCCATCTCTGTAAGCTTTGCCATTATGAATGTTCTGAATTCTTTATCAGACATTTCCATGATTTCCATTGAACTGTGTGTGGATGAAGAGGAGTTATTCTTTTCCCTTGGAGGAGAGGTATTTTCTTGCTTTCCCACATTTCTTATGGTCCTGCGGTGATTTCTAGTCATCTGATGGAAAGTGTGTTTCTTCCCAAACTTGAAATTCAATCTGAGCATCCAGGAGCATGCAGAAAAGGAAACAGAGAAAGAGAAACAACAGCAACAAAAACAACCAAGAAACAGAGAAAAAGAAAAGGAAAAAAAATGATTTTTTTTAAAAAAAAGCAAAAATTAGAAAACCGCATGGCGCACAAGCACACTGCACAAAATTATTAGTTTTCAGTAGCCATGAAGGTGTCTTCTGAGGCCTGCTCCCTTGCCAATCCTGGGTTGGGAGTGGGAGAGGGGATTATTAACAAGATAAAGGGAAGGGAGAGGCTGAAAGTCAAGAAACTGCTTTACTCTAAAAAGTTTTAAAAAGGAAAAATTACCAAAAAATTAGAAGACAGAAACAGAGGAAGAGAGACAAAGACAGAGACAGAGACAGGAGGCTTGAAAGTCTTCCTACCACGCGAGTTTGTGGGCTGGAGGCTGCATTATCAGTGGAAAATCTTCATTTCTCCTATTCCCCTGAAATCACTAGTTCTCAGTAGCCATGAAGGTGTCTTCTGAGGCCTGCTCCCTTGCCTCTCCTCCATATACTGTGCATCTTTAAAGAACAAGAATTTATTTCTCACAGTTTTGGAGCCTAGAAACTCCAAGATCAAAGCACAGGCAGAGTCAGTATTTGTCAAGTTCATATCCACTTCCTGGTTCATAGCGACTGTCTTTTCATTGTGTCCTCACATAGTGGAAAATGCAAGGGAATTCTCTAGATTCTATTTTATAAGAGTACTAATCTTATTCATGTGCATGTGTATATGTGCCCAAAATCTTGGGAGGAGAATAGAGGAGAAGGGATTGCGGAGTGGCCTTCCTCCCCTCCGGGGAAAGAAAACAAACAAACAAACAAACAAAGCCTTATTTTATTAAAGGAGAAGGAAGTTATTAATTCATGTAAATAGAATACTTAGAGGATGAACCTGCTCCTGGACATTACTGGACTTGGTGTCTAACAGATGTCTATAAGACCCTGTTTTCCCAAATTTCAGGCCTGTTTTCTTCTAAATTAGCTTCATTCTCCATAGGTTTTCTCCAACTTGTTAGTAAGAATAATCACCAGGTGTACATGCTATGAGTTTAACCATCTCAAGGGGATTAAAATCTTTCTTTCCAAGTCGTTCTAGCATCTCGGGGCTGACTCCTATTTAGCCCACTTGGATCGCATGTCTGTCCTAACCAGTCCTGTGACGGTGAGTCAGGCTTGGATCATGAGCTTATCCTTGAAACAAGGTCAGTCTAATTTGAATTACTGGACCGTCAGAAAATTCATGATGTATTTTTCTATGCAAAAATGTGTCATGACTTTTCCGACCACCTAACACATTATCCCAAAGGATATTATCAGTTTGCGTGCTATCATCAGTTTGACTCCAAGTAGGGAAAATATAAGAATAGAGAAGGAAGAGGAATAGTTCAGGGCCCATTAAAATTATATATGAACTACTATTTGCAATAGTAAAGATAGCTTTTTTAAGTGTATCCTGCAAACATGAAGATTTATATGAAAAATCAAAAGGTTCGTTTGATGTAACTTTAGCTGGAAGATACCACCATTCAAATAAATTGTCCATTTTTTTTCCTTCTTGTTAGAGGACGCACGCACTAACCAGAGGAAAGGAAAGAGAAAGCCCCCTTCACCAGGAACGGTCGCATTACTATCCATTCTCCTCCATATCTCCCTCCTTTCAGGATGTTGGGCACATGCACATACATACCAAGTGTGTTTCTTGTCATTGGGTCTGGATCTTGAATTACGGAGTTGGCCATGTGGGATATAGCTGCCTTATTGCAGTTATGAAGCCAGCCCTGCCCATTCTTTTTTAAAAGACTCTTGGGGAGACCAGTAGGTGGCATGGAGGTTAAGGTGCTGGATCCCACATGGCCGCTTTCACGGTTCTAGTCCTGGACTCAGTGGCTTGAGAATCACACTGGGTGCATGTGTGTGTATACATGCCCAAAAACCCTAAGGGAGGAAGGAGAAAAAGGAATTGCTGGGAGGCCATTGCCAGGGGTGGAGGAGGGAGCGATTTCTCACTTTCCTTTTCTCTCTGGGTGAGTGCTTGTACCTTATAGCAAAAACAAAAACAAAACAAAACAAAACCCTTTTTCTTTGTTTAGTAGTTTTGAGATTTAATTTATATAGCATAAACTTTACCTATTTATGATGTACAATTCAGTGGCTTTTAAAATGTTCAGAGTTATTGGAGCCAGCAGGTGACATGGTGGATAAAGGCCCTGGACTCACATGGTTGACTGTGGTTCAAGTCCTGGACCTGGTGGCTTGCTTTCTCACTTTCTCTCTCTCCCCTTCTCTCTCCCTCTCTTGCTCTGTCCCTCTCTGGTCAAATTAAAATAAACAAATAAAGCTGAATAAAATAATTCTTTAAAAAATGTTCAGAGTTATGTAACCGTCATCACAATCAATTTTAGAATACTCACAAAGCTTTTATGCACATATTGTACAGATTTTATTGTTGGTCTATAAAAATGTAAGAAGGTCTTATGACTCAGCAACAATTTGATAGTATCTTCTATACCAAAAACACTTCAAACTCTTGCATTTAATTAATATCCAACATATACAATCTCACTTTCTTTTTAGCTTCTTTACTTTTTTTTTTTTTTTAATTTTCCAGACAGTATATGTACTTGCAAGAGAAAGACTGAGAGAAAAAAGGGAAAAGTACCTTCCAGTAGGGTGTGGGAACACTGTAATCCCTTCTCCATCTCTAGGTATAGATACCGTGTCCCAGTTTAGGGTACTCCCACGCACATGCCCATTGCCTTTTCCAAGCTATCAGGATCAAGACTCACTAGTCAGATACCTGGTACCTGGCTCCCTTAACCACCAGGCCATGGGGCCAGCCTACAGTTTCTTCCTTATGACTAATTTTCAAAATCTTTTTCGTGTTACCTTGTGCTACTCCGACTTCTTCGAAGGCTCATTAAGACCAACTGCAGCTAATGAGGAATAAAAGATAAATATGTGACCTACTGTAACCATGATGAAAAGCTATAAACATCTGTAGCTTCAGAAAGGCAGTTCATAGACAAGGGTATCTTCTGTTAACATATGCTAATCCATGTGCAGTTTCTCTTCTTTTTAGTCCTTTTTTTGTGTATTGTTTGAAATGCACATTCTTGCTTCTTATCCTCATTTTACAACCTTTTCACTTATTTGCATTTAAGTTTTCTCTTATATTCCCAAACTTTGAAATTTTTTAGAGAGTTTTAAAAATTGTGTATCTTGGAGCCAGCAGGTGACATGGAGGTTAAGGTGCTGGATCCCACATGGCTTTGTTTGGGTTAACTGACCATATGCTGAATTATTTACACTTTTCATCAACATATACTAAGTATATGGTATCTACAGAAATGAAAACCAATATATGCCTATTTTCAAGGAGTTGAAACTTTGCAAAGTATGGTGAGACAAACCCAGGGTGAGCCATAATGGTGCTTTTATGGAAAAGAATGTAAGGAGAGAGCTGGGAATTTTGGGGGGAGAGAGATGAAATCCGACTAGCAATGTTTACCATACATTGAGCACTTCCAGCATGTCAAACATTAGAGCTTTGAATCCGGTGCCTCATTTAAACCACCGGATGTAGGTGCAGTAATAAAGGGGGCCAGACCCCACATGGCTGACCATGGTTCAAATTCTGACTCTGTGGCTTGAAAATCATACTGGCACATGTGCATGTGTGCCCAAAATCTCAAGAGGAGACTGGGGAAAATGAGATTGCAGCATGGCCAATCCCCTCAGGGAGCAATTTTTCACTTTATTTCCCTTTCTCTCTCCCTGTCTCTCTCTAGTGAGAGACACACCCTAGAGCAAAATCTAAGAAAAGAAATTGCATATCTGAAGTCTACATATTGCATAAGTGATTTTTTGTTTACTTATTTATGTAGGTTGACTACATCAAAGGAAAATTATGGTATAAAGAAAGGTGTTTCGCTAACAAAGAACACTTTGAAGGTAAATTTTAGTTACAGGTATATTAACAAGCTTTTATCAGTATAGATAACATTTTGCAGGTTAAATAATATGACATAAAACAAAAATAGGATAAATGTAAAAATAGATTTATTTTGTATAAGTTAATGGCTTAAAACGGGGGAAAATCTAATGTAAATCTGAGATGATAGGCATATTTGCTGTAAGTGCAAGAAAATTGCATTTGAGTATAGAATAATTGCTGCATAACTTCTATAACTTCTTATGAAGACTATCATATTGATATTAATACTTCTAGTTTTTTAAATATAGATGCTGCTCATAATTTTTGTCTCTTTTTATTTTATAGTTGACTATGTTACTATCACCTTTGACAGAAACAGGACCCTAAGTGAGGTATGATACTGAATATTTTTAAAAGCAAGAAATCTTGGGACCAGCAGTTAGCGTAATGGCTGTGTCACTGGACTCCCATGTAGTCAACCGCGGTTCGCATCCCGGACCCGGTGGCTTAAAACTCACGCCGGGCACGTGTGTGTGCATGCCCAAGATCCCAAGAGGAGAATGGAGGAGAAGAGACTGCGGCATGGCCATCCCCCCTGGGGGGGTGATTTCTTGCTTTCTCTCTCTCTGTCTCTCTCTGTGTTTCTGGTGAGCGCATGTGCCCTATAGCAAAAACCTGTCCCCTCAAAAAAAAAAGTAAGAAATCTTTTCCTGCATGATTTCATAGTTTGTTATTAATCTAAAATATGGCCATTGTACAAATTGAAGGCCTAATAATCACGCTGCTCTCAGTGGTGTCTATACTTGGGTTTAATGGTAATTTTATTGTTATATAAAATCTGAACCTACACAGTGATTCTGGAAAACAGTCCAGTTCAGAAAAAGATGTTTTGCATTGTTTTATAGACTCATAATCACCCAAAAGAGAGGTACAGACATTAATGACTCAAAAATAAGATGCATGGCCAGTCAGGACAACACAGTGGTTCTTTAGGTTCTTTAGTTTACTTTCCTATGAGAACTAATTTGGAAAATTTTTTTTTTTTGAGAGGTTTTATTTTTTTTCGCTATAGGGTGCGTGCGCTTGCCAGACAGACGGAGAGAGAGAGACAGAAAACGAGAAATCACCCCCAGGGGTGATGGTCACGCCACAATCCCTTCTCCTCCATTCTCCTCTCAGGATCTTGGGCACGCACTCACACGCGCCCAGCGTGAGTTCTAAGCCACCGGGTCCGGGACGTGAACCGCAGTCAACTACGTGGGAGTCCAGCGACATAGTCATTACACTAACTGCTGGTTCCCGAAATATTTTAAAAACAGTATTAACTTTCTTTTTCCTTTTTTTTTTTTTTTTTTTTTTTGTAGGCAAGCTCTTGCTTTTATAGTAGAGAACCATTTCTTGAATGGTTACCTTGCATACCTTACAGTTTCAGGGGAGTGAAGTATGGTCCTCCAAGTGTGATAACATTTCTTATTGACCAAGAAAAAAATACTGGAATCTACCTCTTCTATCAGAAGGTAGGCCTTATCTCCCATAGGTTTATCCCAGATTTTGGACTGCAATGAACATTTATCTTATCAAAAGTAGCTTCTAAGTTGTTGTTATCTTTACAATAGAACCTGATAAAGATAGACTATAGAAAAATTATTTGAGATTAATAATACAGTTTGACAATTCAGAAATTTCTCGTCTCTGATGATCATTCAGTTTGATGAAAATGGAAAGCATGATGCTATTTGCACAGTGATTCTCTCCTGCTAATTCTCGAGAACATAAACAGTTTTTTCTATATAAATTTAAGATTCTATAAAATGGTTAGTTGAAATGAGCAAAAGACAATGGAACTAATTGGCAACAGATTTATATTTTCTACTCCAAAGATGCTTAACCCTAGTTGTGATTAGAATTCTTCCTAGAGTCATTTAAAATATGTAAATTCAGCCTTTTATTCTCAAGATTGATTGTAGGGAAGAAAAAATTTATTTTTTCCTCTACCCTCTTATATATTCGGTGACTAGGGCCCTGCAAATTAAGCAGACAAAAGACAATAGGAGAAAACAGTTTACATATGCAGCGTGCATACATGTGGGAGAATGGTTAAAAATGGGGGTTTATATACCATCTCACTAGGTAAAGACAATGGAAAGAGGGACCAGCAGTTAGCGTGATGGCTATGTCGCTGGACTCCCATGTAGTCGACTGCAGTTCAAGTCCCAGACCCCGTAGCTTAAAACTCACGCCGGGCACGTGTGTGTACATGCCCAAGATCCCAAGGGGAGAACGGAGGAGAAAGGACTGCGGCATGGCCATCACCCCTGGGGGGTGATTTCTTGCTTTCTGTCTCTGTCTCTCTCTATCTGGCAAGCACACACGCCCTATAGCAAAAACCTCTCAAAAAAAGACAAAAAAAAAGACAATGGAAAGAAAAGTGCTTGTAGGAAGATAAATTACTTTTTTTAAACATAGATTTTTTCCATAAATGGGAAACGAATGAAGATAAAGATATTCATTATAATGGTTATCCAATATACGGATATGAATGACCTGTCTCTCTCTGGGTAGTAAAATCCCCCTGAAGAAGGGATTTGGGATAGTTTTATTTGCATTCTCCCCAAGAGAAATTTATGGCAGCCTTAATTTCCCAGAAGTTGCTGCTTTTAGTCAGATAAGGAAGGCTTGCTTTCTTCATATGTTAAGTCTCAAAAGCTTTCAGTTTAAAATTATTTTTCTATCAAAGTGACAAATTTGGGGGTGTCATATCCTCATCCTTTTCAAACCCATGACCCAACACAACTGGGATATGATTCAGGTATCCACACTTCTGGCATGATAGTTAAGAACATGGGCATTAGAGTCTGATGAGTTCAATAAGGACTATATAATAAATTTCTCTGTGTCATTTATTATAGGACTTTGGAAAAATTATTTAATCTTCTAAATTTCATGTTTAACATCTATAAAATGGATGTATGTGGGGGTGGCGTTCCCTCCAGTTCTAGGCTACTTTATGTTGGTGAGTGTGTCCTTGTCTTAATCAAACCTGAGTAACAAGGAAAAAGTCTGAAAATTGAAATATTGACTAATAATAATGAAAACATTCTTACAATGAATTCATGCTTTGTTTATCTAGCTCCAGAAACATGCCTCTGTCTCTGTGGTCAGCCTAGAAGATAACCTCCCAAGTGTACTATTAAAATTTCCAGCCTTTGAGTTTCCTAACTCATTTGTTCCCACTGGAATGGCATTTCATCCACGAAGCCACCTTCTGTATGTGTACGGCAATCAGGTGTGTACATATGAAATTTCATACTCTGGGGTGGAGTATATCACCCACTTACTCTATGCGGGGTGGCTGTATGTGGACAACAGAGCCACTCTGATGACTGGGGATGTGGAAGTGGGAGGGAAGACAATGAGTTTTTATTGACTATTCTGTGCTAAACTAGGTTGCCTTTTGTCAGTTTTTACCTTTTGATTAGTTTACTGGCTGATAAAAATGTGTAGTGTGTTATCAGATGGGGGAGCTGGGAGCATTGTGATGGGATGCTTGGTTCACCAGTCCCAAGAAGCATAAAGCCACAGCCAGAAGAGAAGCATAAAAATAGATGTTTTATGGGACAGGCCACATGGGAGAGGGATAGGTGGGCTGACTGCCAGGTGGCAAATGCACCAGGAAAGGGTTGAGGTGCTACTTTTATTGTAGGGTCTTGTTATGAATATTTAGGAGGGCAGATCTATCATTGTAGCTGGTTCTGTTGTTTGTTTTGTTTTTGTGTGGTTTCATTGTGCTTGCATATTCCTTGTTGAGTAAGGGGAATTCAAGAGCCTGGTAGGGGGAAGTTGCACATATGTCCAGTGTGGACATGAAGGTGGCCACAGGGACAATTTTGCCCATGTCAGTCTAGCACCACCAGTGGAAGGTGAAATAGTGACCGTGAAGCCAGAAGAGTGCCTATGTGTGTGTGTTGCTGTGGAAAGGGAAGAAAGTCACATTCTGCAGGTTCCCTAATGACAGCTCAGGCAATAATAGTTCAGTGATCTTTCCCCGTTGGTGCTGGGTGTCTGACTGGCTGGCTGCAACTCCTGACGACCGTGGTTGACAGGTCAGATGCCCATACTGCTGGTGTCATGGGACTTCCTGCTCCTGACTTTGACTGCCTATATTAGGTATATCAGAGTTACCTGGCACTTTGTCAATTCTAAGTTCTTTCTTTCCCACTCTGAGTGACCCTAGATATTGCCATTAACTCATTAAAAGTGTACCTTTTGTTTCTAGCATTTAACATTTGCTTTCTGTCTGCCTTTGTCTAAGCTTAGCTTTCTAACTCAGTTTTTCTGTGAGCTCTGGTAGCATTTTCCATCCTCTCACCTCCTCTTCAATCAGCTCGGTATCAGTAGCCTGAAAACTTGGTGAAGGAATAGTTACACACTCTATGAAGAATCAGAAAGTTTAGAAGTCAGGAACACAAAAGAGGAAACAGTAAATAAACCTCAGAAGTGAGAATGCTCTGCAGTGATTTCCGATACAGGGAACTAACTCATTTCGTTTCTCAATGATGTTTTTCAGGCATCCCTATTCAGTGTAAAATTTAGAGACTTGTAAAAGTGTTTCTCCAGTCTTCTTGAAATTCCCCTCCAGCCTAGCCAGAGATTTTCAAAGGGAATTTATGAGCTGCACCTGGGCTGAGAGTGCTTGCCACCCCTCCACCCCCAGCTTCCAGAATCATTAACCTATCATAACAACACCCACTCAGGTTGATGAGGGAGCCTCATTCTAAGCAGACATAACAGGAACAGGAGGCAGTGAGGGCCCCAAGATGTTCCCAGTTTCTAAGAAACAGGGCTAGTCAGCCACACTGCCCCAATACTACTTCACCTAATCAGCAGGCAGCCACCCAGAGTTGGCAAGCATTCATTTCTTACGTCCTTTCCACTATATTTCTCCAACTGCAGTAGAATCCTATAATTTTATCGAACACTTTGCTATTTTTTTTTTTAGCCAAAGCAGTTTTACTGTCTTCTGTTCTGGAATTCCTAGCGCCCATGGGTTGGAACATTAACAGTGGTACAAGGAGGCAAAAACCAGGCTGACCAGAAATTTTGCCAGTATGTTATATTTCTCAAAATTTTCATTTATGTGTGTTTTGACTGTGGATAATAAAAAGTCAGAATTTGAAGTTAAAGAGCCTTATACGATGTCCTCCAAACTAAGCTAAAAAACAGGACTGACAGTTGAACAGGAGTTTAGGAAGGCCAAGGAATTGGAACCATTTTTTGTGGGAACAGGTGAATAATAAGCTAAAATTGATGTGAATCTAATAGCTTTCACAAAATGGCACAGTTAATTGATCAAATAAGCTATAATGAGAATCATTTGTAAATTTCAGAGGCAAGTAGGTATATAAAACAAATTCCAAGCTAAGGTTCTAGGGCTGCTCAGGGGATGGAAGTAAATGAGACTGTGCACTACCCCTTTGGGCTTGAGGTCTCCAACTTCAGCATTCACTCTACATTTTTGTGAGAAGTTCAGCCCATCTGTGATAAATGCAACTCCAGTAGAAATCTTATTATTTGGATTCAGTGCTTTGAAAGTGATCTGCAAGGGCTGAGCTATGTCATAGAGAAAAATAACAGTATGGACTTTATCTGATGAGACTTACAAAAAGCGTTTTGAATGTAGCAGGGAAGGCCTCTTGAGTTACTGCCTTTGGGATGCTCTAACAGTTTCTGGCAGATATCATTAAGTATAAGCACCTATCTGTCGTCACTTCCTAACGAAGTCCTGTCCGGATCACTGTTGGCATTGAAAATAGCTATCTTTTGTTTGTTTCCTTTTTTTTTTTTTTTAATTATAATTTCTGTATCAAAGACCAACCTCTTTTTAATATATATTTGATGTGTGTCTTTGTGGGGTATTTTATGGTTTTTTTAACATGCGTACAAAGTATAATAATTAAATCTAGAATACATAACTATTCATCTTCACATTAAATAGTACATTATGTTTTACACATTTCATAATAGTTCTAGAGGCTTTTGTGGGGATTTTTGAGAGTTTTGTTTTGTTTTGTTTTGTTTTGTTTTTGCTATAGGGCGTGTGTGCTCACCAGAAAGACAGAGAGAGCCAGAAAACAAGAAATCACCCCCCAGGGGGATAGCCACACTCCAATCCCTTCTCCTCCATTCTCCTCTCAGGATCTTGGGCTTATACACGCGCCCAGCATAAGTTTAAGCAACCAGGTCCGGGACTTAAACCGCAGTCCACTACATGGGAGACCAGCAACATAGCCATTACGCCAGCTGCTGGTCCCAATAGTTCTAGGGTTTAAAAAAATATGTATTAAATTGTCCATACTTTTTGCCCTACTGTGGTATAGCTGTTTCACTGGAGTCGTGCTTATGATTGCAGAAGGCACTCAAGGACATATACGTGAAATTTCACACTCTGAAGGTGTAAGTCATTTAAGTCCTCCATGCTGAGTTGTTATGCATGAATTAAAGAATAAAGTCACTCTGATGATCGGGAGATGGAAAGCCTGATAAATAGGGAACGAGGTGGTCTGGTGCTTAAGGCAGCTGGAACCCATATGGCCAACCACACAGTTCAAGTCTCAGACACAGCAGCTTGAAAAACATACCAGCATGTATGTATATTCATGCCCAAAATCCCGAGAGGAGCATGCAGGAGAAAGGATCGTGGTGTGACCATTGCCCCTGGAGAGTGCTGTGTCTTTTCTCACTTTCTCCCTTATGCCCATTCCCAATGAATGCGCAAGCCCTATTGAAAACAAAACAAAACAAAACAACCTACTTAGAGAGAGAAAGAGAGAGTGAAAGAAGAGAACTTAGGACAAAATGAACAGAAACTCTTTTCAGTTTCGCTAAAGAGCAGAGCAATGAAGAGGGGATCAAGAGATTTTGGGGGCCCAGCAGGTGGTATAGTGGTTAAGGGTGCTGAACTCCCACATGGCCGACTACAGTTCAAGTTCTGGACCTGGTGGCTTGCTTTCTCCTTCTCTCTCTCTCTCTCTCTCTCTCTGATCAAATTTAAAAAATAATAACAAATGGAATTAAATAAATAATTCTTTTTTTTAAAAAAGAGTATTTTTTTTAAACAATTATTTATTTATTGTATGTTGATGAGAATTATTCCATGGAGGAGAGAAAATGGATGATGCAAGATATTTTTTTGACTCATTGCTGGAGAAATGTTTTTAAATAAGGGAAAGGAAATGAGGTTTGTGCACCAATGGAGAGGCTGGCATAAGATACAGGTGAAAACGTAATTCTACAGTAACAGGAGGGAAGTACGAGTTTCTGGGGTTCAAAACCTTGTAGGTGAGTAGATGTGGTAATAGAAGATGTAGGAATTTATCTTCTATTTCTCAATAAAAATCAAAGTTATTTGAGAGTAAGAATAGAGGTGGAGTGTTGGGGTTTGCTTATGAGAAAGAGAGAACAGAGCAAAATGGTAGCTTTGGAAGATGGGAATTAATTGATTAAGGGACTAAAGTATGATTTCTTGGGCTTTTCTATACATTAGAAATGTAACCAGTTCAGTATTATTGATGATGGTCTTCTCCATGTTCAGTTGTAGGACACATATGTAATAAACAAGAAAGAGTTGTATTTAACCGTGGTTGGAATTTTACCAGGAAATTATTAAGAGGCAAAATAACATGTATAGGGAACATAATAAGACAAAGAAAAATAAAGAACTCTAGGGACCCGTTGAGAAACTTCATTGTTCTGCTGTTTCAAAATTGTTTTGCTGTTCAGGCCCCTTGAAATTTCACACACAAACACACACATACACATGCACATACACGCATGCACATGTAAATTATCCTAAAAATTTTTTTTTTTGGAGAGGTTTTTGCTATAGGGCATGTGTGCTCGCCAGACAGACAGAGAGAGACAGAAAGATAGAAAGTGAGAAATCACCCCCCAGAGGGGATTGCAATGCTGCATTCCCTTCTCCCCCATTCTCCTCTCAGGATCTTGGGCACACACACATACACATGCGCCTGGCGTGAGTTTATTAAGCCCCGGGTCCGGGACTCGAACCACGATCGACTACGTGGGAGTCCAGTGACATAGCCATTATGCTAACTGCTGGTCCCAATTATCCTAAAATCTTAAGGGGCCCAGAATAACAAACCAATTTTGAAAAGGCAGAACAAAGTTAGAGAACTCACACTTCCTGATGTCAAAACATTTTAGAAAGCTAAAGAAATCAAAATAGTCTGAACTAGTATAAAAACAGACACATAGACAAATAGAATT